TTGTTTATCACTTTTGCTTGTCAGTGTTGCCAGCTCCTCTCGAAATGCGCAACCTTCTATCTTTTGCAGTCAAAAACAGATGTGGGAGAAAAACACGTAAGAGTGAGACAAAATAATAAATTATCGTATTTTCAGAAACTGCACTCAAACGTTAAACATATTAAAAGTAAAGCCAAGCTTTTTCCTATCTGGTAATATATATATATATATATATATATATATATATATATATATATATATATATATATTTTTTTTTTTTTTTTTTTTTTTTTTTTTAACGGTAAATTATCCATATTTGAAGAGCTTTAATTACTGGTTAATGCTATTTTTTATATATACATTTACATTGGCTACTCTTTTATCTTGATTTCAGTAGACAGTAAAATTGTGGTTTTAATTTGGTGCTTATTTTTTATAAGTTTTATAAGTTGTTTTTATTTATACTTCAGCAAAAGAAAAAAAAGGTTTTATTGTCCTATTACATAAGGCACTGATATTTGACTCTGTGAAATAGTAATAATGTTTGTCAGATCCTTTTTTGTGTGGAAACTTTAGACTCTAGACCTACAAATCAGTTAATATTTGCTTTGTTTGCTTCAATAAGTAAAGAAATGAGGCATAATTTAACCAACTATAGTAAAAAAGCATTTAACCTGTATGTAAACTATTCACATGCATATAAGCTAAATATACTTACCATGCCATAGTAACAAGATAATTGTTTAATGCAATTCAATTCATGTTTATTTATATAGCACTTTTTTACAATGCAGATTGTGTGACAGCAGTTTAACATTATAGTGAATATTATAGTGAATTGTAATATTATTAAGTTTAACAAGATTTTACATTGCAACTTCTAAAAACATTTAATACAGGAGACATCGGACAATCCCATTTCATAACAGTTTTACTCTCAGCTTTTAAACTCTAGACAGCTAAACATGAATTCAAAACTTGAATAATCTTATCACAGAAATTATATATGCAAATATATAATGAAGTGTCCATTGATTGATATATATATATATATATATATATATATATATATATATATATATATATATATATATATATATATATATATATATATATTTCGGCTAGAATAAAAGCAGTTATTAATTTATAAAAAAAATAATTTTTTGACAATATTATTAGCCCCTTTAAGCATTTTTTTCCCGATAATGTACAGAACAAACCATCATTATACAATAACTTGCCTAATTACCCTAACCTGCCTAGTTTACCTAATCATCCTAGTTAAGCCTTTAAATGTCACTTTAAGCTGTATAGAAGTGTCTTAAAAAATATCAAGTAAAATATTTTTTACTGTCATCATGGCAAAGATGAAATAAATCGGTTATTGGAAATAAGATTTTAAAACTATTATGCTTAGAAATGTGCTGAAACAATCTTTCCTCCATTAAACAGAAAATAGGGAAAAAATAAACAGGCGCTAATAATTCTGACTTCAACTGTGTATATAATGTGTATACTATGTTAGTAAACAAAGGACGAATGTGTCAAAGTCATTGATATATAATGGCATTTATAAGTTTATAAATGTTTAATGTTTATAATTTTTTTTTTCAGAGCTTAATGACATAAAAAAATGACGCTGCTGTCAAACATGGGATTGATTGCGTTGTGAGTTTGTTTATATGATGGGCTGCAATTTTTTATTTATTTGTAATGACACTTCTGGTTTTTGCTGGAAAATCAAGATTCAGTATTACACAGTTCTACATATTTAAATTATAATAAGGCAGTAAAAGTTAACTGTACTTAATGCATTAGTTTATTTAAAATTAACAGTAAGCAACATATTTGTTAAGCATAACATATTCTTTACCTCATTTTTCGCATAATATTTGAAATAAAAATAAAAATTGTGTCGACCACATCAATGCGTGTTTAAATACATTTTTTAAAGTAGATTAGAAGACCTTAATATTATCAATAATCCATGATAAACAGTGACATTTTGTACCAATGAAGATCGGAAGTGTCATGACGAATAAATAAAAAATTGGAATTATATATTTTTTTAAATCATATGAAACCCAACAAATAAATGAACTCATGTCGCAATAAATCCTGATTGACAGCAGCATGACTAAACTGTTTTGTGCATGTTTATAAAAGTCATTAAGCTCTGCAATATAGTCACTGCAGCAACATGCACCGCAACACTGTAAGTGACACAGATCACAAATGCATTGACACATGCCAATGAAAACCAGACATGCCACCAGACGTGCCACTACACATAGTGGTATGTGACTGTGGCATCTCTACATCAGATGTCTTGCTGCTGACATAATATTTTCTGTCACCAGCAAGTGGGACATTTACTGTAACAAAAAATTACCATGTAGATGTGATCAAGACTTTAAATAAACATCTAAAGCAGAAAACAGAAAAAACATATGAATAAGGAATAAAGTGCTACTGAGACTACCATATCATGTGACAAGTTTGTGATTGCATGCGTTACTCTTAAAAAAACAGAGTTTAGCAAGAATATAATACCCGAGTGTGGTCAAACTTGCATCAGCTGACAGTCAAGCGGTTCACGACATTTACCAGTATGGTTCAGACATCTATCATGGCGATCTCTAATCCACAAAACCTCCACCATCCCCAACTCCTCCTAGATCATTTCTGTACATGGCCAAGTATGAAGTACACGGTAATAAGTTTCATATTTCTGGCATTTTAACTAAATTGCTTCGTACTGTTTTTATTTTTAATTTTTCTTACATTTTACACACTGAGGAAGGCTTTGTGCCGAAACGTCTGTTTGTCTGTTATCACCCGTAAAATATAAAAAAAATTAAAAATAAAAACAGTACGAAGCAATTGAGTGCGAATCATTACCTTCTTTTGAATAATAGTAACGATAAGATTAACGCACCAAACCAAAGAAGTAACTAAAAAAACCGCAAGCGCGCAGGACAAACTTCAGTAACTCTGCATACGTGGCATTTTAACTAACTCATAAATGTTTAAATCTTAACCCATAATTGTTAATAAATTAACTCATTGACATGATTTGGGGTTCTGTTCTGTTACCCCATGAGGGCTGAATTGTCGCTGCTCTCCTTCGCTCTGGGGGTGTGTAAGGCTTGACCTAGAACCATCTTGCCAACAATAACTGCGTGCTTAATACATCTATATATTTGATAATTATTGTGTGTAAGGGTTAAGCTGATCAGAATCTGATCAATGTTATCCTGCAAATAACATTAAAAAGCTGTATCAAGGGTCAGCAGGCCAGATGCAGATGTTCTTTTAGTGGGTAAGCGAGGATGTGGAGACCCAGAAAGAAAATGTTTTTCAGGAAGTCACTCAGTTCTTGGCTGTGCACGGCCACCATCTGACCTACAAATAGTGTAAGGACAAGTTTCAGAAAACTAAAAAGTACTTACATACTATAGATAATACCATGTGCAATAGATGTGGTGAAACTGTGAACATATTTATATAATCCTACTCACTTTGAAATTACCTTAAAATACAGCAGATAGATAAGAAGTTCAGTAGACACAGAGTACTGAGTACTATTTCCATTAGTATGCTTGATCACAAATGGAAATGTACTTTCCCAAAAAATGTTTCAATCGCCTGAGACATTCATTCATCTTCTGAACATAAATGTTCAAAGTATAGAAGAGAAACCAAAAACATTGTCAAAACTTTCCATGTGACTTCACTATAATCATGAGAAGCTCCAGGAACTATTTTGTTTTCAAATGCACCAAAAAAGATAAAGGTGTGCTTTACTGCAGGCAGTAAAATGTATTAGAATCAATAGTGCAACTTGCAAGTGCTGTACTGGCTGTAATAAATGTGTGCACCCTGACCTGATGAGGAAAACATTGTCATATTTAGGCCCAAGCCCAAATCTATTTATTTTTATTTTTTTTACCTCTACCCATTTCCCTTGGCCCTTGAAACGGAGTGTGAGGGTCTTCAAATTTTACCCCTATGAAATGGGACAGCACTACAACACCTGCACATGTCATCATATGTCATCTTACTTCATATGAGATTGATGATCGCAACTGCTGTAGTTATACCAGTCGCATCATTTTTTGGTATTTATCTTCAGGAAATCCCTGAAGGCATATATCATGTTATCATAATGATCTAATAAGGCAATAAGCTCGTAACTATACTGTGTAAATACACCATGGCCATCTAACATAAACACACAAAAACAACATTAGCATTAACAATATGCAGACACTATAAAAAGGTCATTCCCAGCCACTAGAGTTTTCTGACAACGTATTCAAGTGTCATCGAGTGACAGAAAGTTGTGGGACTATACAGGAGTTATTATTATGAATTATAGAAAGCAAAATTTAGAGGTTTTATTTTAGCGTTTTTTTTAAAGCATGACAGTAAAACATGAACACGGTTATGACTGTATTAAAACGTGTTTGTTTGTTGAAAGAATTTGTAATAATGACTAAAAATACTCATTGTGCATCTCCTTACTTCCAAGTGCAGCCATAATGCCGTTGTAGATGGTGTACCCTGGGAAATTTTTATACTTCTTGGTTTCAAGTGTGGTCCTGAAAAATCTGGACTTTGATTGAGTCGCAAATATTGCTGTCTATGGGGGATGAGGGAGCTCTCAGATGAGGGTAATTCAAAACGGTATTTATTTTTTGGGTGAACTTAACCTTTAAGGAGACTTGCAAAATAGTGTTGGAGAGGCTCCAGGAACAGTTGGGACCCTAAGATTAATCTAAATCAAGTTGTATGTCCAACCGTCACGATGTGCGTTATGTTTAAAGCTAGGATTAGTTCACTAGTTAGCTTTAAATGATCCCTGCCAAGGAATAAGTGCCTTACATAGAAGGGAATAATAGGTAATTTTCTTCTTTGTGGTTAAAAATCATATTATTATTATTATTTAGATTTATTTTTTTAAGGAAACGACCAATTATTTCTCTCAGCAAGTCTCTTGTTCCTCTTTTTTAACATTAAAAGCATTTATTTACTTAAAATGTACCGCCATCCTTCTCTAGACCCTCCTCATTTATCCGGGCTTGGGACCGACACAAGGTGGTGTATAAAAATCCCTGTGGCCGAGTTCTGAAACATATATTATTGCAGTGTTTAATTAAAGACAGTCACCAACTTTAAAATTTAACCTAATGTTGATTATGGATGCTGAATGTACTTACAGCTAAAGAAAATGCAAAGCCACCACACAGAATTGAAAAAATCATTACAGGTATGTCTGGACTTGGTTTTGTTCCTTGGTTGCCTATCTGTCTTGATGTCCTTGCTGTTAACAAAAAAAAAAAAAGAAAACAGCATTAAAAACATGATTGCATTGTTTACTGTTTCTAGAGTAAACTGAAACATAAAGAGTCTGCACATTCATGACATATAAATCATTTTACTCAAAAAAAAAAAACACAAGAAAAAAAACACTGTATTAACTTACCTTCGATGTTAAGCTTGACATTCCTAATTATTGAGTCCTGTATGATATAGCATGTGTACTTTCCGCTATCTCTGTCTTGCAGATCTCTGAGTTTGATGGAGAAGTTTCCGTTCTTGTACTGCTCAGGGATGCTTTGAGCTCTATTTCTGTATGCTGGATCCTGTGCTTTGGCAACTGTACCATCAATAATCTCTAGGACATCCAAGCCATTGTGTCTCCAGCGCACAGTGATGTCTTGAACTGTAAGCTGCCGCTGTTCAGAAGAACAAGGTAAAACAGCAGTGCCTCCAATAAAACCCTCAACAGAGGCCTGTGAACAGACTGAAACAGAAAATACTATTTTTCTGATCAAGTGGCAGCGCCAAGTTGATCGAGGCCTGTGAAGAGATGATGCCAACCATCCGAGGACAACACATACAGTTAATACACTTCATTAAGCATGTACACATAGACATCAAATCATACTGCAGGTTAATTATGTTTATATATAACAACTGTAACTGATAAAGTTATTAGTAATTAGTTATTAGATAAAGTCATTAGTAACTAATAAAGTTAAAGTAATAAATTTACGTTTTCTGATTTTGATTGTAATGTAATAATGTGCACCTTTCTGTAAAGCTGCTTTGAAATAATAATTATTTTGAAAATCGCTTTACAAATAAACTTGAATTAAGCATTTTTAATGACAGTAAACTTTGATTCCTACCTTGACGCATCAACAGCAGATGGCAATAAATAGACAATAACCTGGACAAAAACAAAAGGTTCATTTACTTTTATAACACAATGCTCACACAATAAAACTGTTGATCAAGGTAAAGCCCCATTCAGATTAAAGGATTTTGTCCTATATTTTGGCATGATTTGCTGTGATGTAGGGTGTCCTGGAAATGTTTTAATGATTACTGGATGCAAGATTTAATTATTTCTTCTCCTGGAGTGTGCCATAGTGCAAGACAACCTGTCTATATGTCTGTGATGCTTCACAACGTCCTTGCAAAAAGTCTTACTTACTCCCGGGGCCATTTTGATCAAAGTAGTTGATATTTATGAAGGTAAATCGGTTGCGAAACTCGAGAGCTTGCAAATGTGCGCACTTGTGATAATAATATTTGTATGTGTAGGTTGAAATGTACACTTACAGCTCTGATGTGAACAGCTGAAATCCTCGATTTGCACACACACACAACAATCCACACACTTGTGTTTTGAATTGGAAGTTGCAGATTAATAGTTGTGTATTTGTAAAATGTCATTCACAAATACAAAGTGAGAGACACACGTGTGCACGGCAAATTTGACTGCATCTCCATTCTACAACCACAGGTCGGCACCAAGTGTGCCGCAAGCCTGCGTTTGAGTGAAGGTTTCGGCCGTTAGATCGCCCCCTGGGGGCTGGCTGCAGTACAAGTCATAAAGCCCGCCTCCTCCGTGTTAATGAAGGAGACTTGAGCCCAAATAAAAAAAAAATATTACACTTGCAATAAAATGTCCCGAAAGATAGTTCTGGTCGATTAAGGCACTGGTTATTGTGCTGAAATAGGTGCAGATCTTCATTTTTGTAAACAGTTTGTTTTTAGCAGTAATTTAATGCTGGGCGTGTCATCGTGATTGACAGCTGTGATTGAAAGTTTCTCAAAGCGCGGCGTCTGAGCTTTGGCAGGAGACTGAAGTAGACTGAAATGTTATTATTCGATTTCTGTGTTATTTTACCATGACAAAATGAGTTCAGCAGTAAACTATAGTTTCTGACATACATGATCCTGTTGGAACACTGTTTATTCGCTAAGTTAAGGGCTTTTTTCGGGCTTTATTAGTTTGCTGATACACGCCTAGCCACCCAGATAGCAAAACACAGTTCCGGCTAGATTCTCGCCTGCCGGAGACTTATCTCTTAGAGCTCAGACTGACTAATGTTACCTCTGCTGGACCTACTCCGGATGCCTGGACTCACTACCCGATTCCAGTCCGAGTCAATTGAGCCAGATGCGGCGGCCGAGCGAGCCGGCGCTGCCGCATGCGAGCCGGAATCAGCCCGCGACGCCGCGAGTAAGTTATGCGCTGCGGCCTGGAGCTGGCGCGATTGAATATATAAAACCCTCATATTTGTTAACGTTATTACATCCATTTGTGTTGATATGACAGCAAACGCATGCTGAGAAGTTCGGGGGGCGTAGTTGATTTTACATAAAGCGTTTGATTGGAAGCTCGACTCTGCTCATTTTCGTGGCTCCTCCTCTGGCTCCATCAGACAATCCTTCTGCGCATGTCTGGCTCCAATTTCAGCAGTCTTTTGCGACAGTTTGTGCCCGTCAAGCAGGCGTTTTGCCCTCAAGGCGTTCAATGGGAAAAAGGGCTGTCGCGTCGTCCATATTTTTTACAGTCATTGGTCGGCACTCACAACCTCTCAGATTCGTCAGTACAACTACAAATCTCCCGCGCTCTGACTTTTGCTACACATCTCCCGCGATCTCTGTAGCAGAACTCATCTGTGCACTCGCAGATGCAGAGGCGCGAGCAGCGCGGGGCGGGGGAGGGGCGGGGCAGGTGTAAAGCTGTTTGATTGGCTGATACCTGACCAATGAACAATGTCAGCAGCCAACAGGACTGAGGTGCAAAGGAATCATTTCCCACGATTATTTTATTATTTAGGGTTTATTTAAACTCTTTTCTGAAGAGATTCTTGTTAAAAATAATAAATTCTGTGGAAATGTACATACCAGTAAAAGAGCAGCAAAGCCAGTTTATTGGCTAGAGCCAGCCAATGAGATGGGGCGTTTCTGTTTGTCAGGAGACAGGGCAGCTCACGTTGTTGGAGGCCTCGAGCAATCAGAGGGTACGTTATGATTTTTAATAATTATCTATATGTTAAATACTGTTAGCTAAGCTAAGGACTGTGCTGGGTGCTTCTCTTGTTTGTTTTTTTATATAAGAAACAGTTATGAGTTATCTAGGAGCTGCTTTCAATCATGTTATATGGTTCTAAAGATACGATTCAACCCACATGAAATAAGAAGTTGTAATAGTATTTATAGTAAACAATATTACGTTTTTGAACCATACTAACTATAATAAACTGTATTATACTGTATATATTGCAGTATCTACAACTTTGTTAATGAATGCAACAGCACACTGTAGTATTAACTAGCATGAACTTTAATAAATTGAAGTATACTTATATGTATATAGCTTAAATTTAAAAAAAAATGAAATATAGCTTTCTGTTTAAAACTAAACATTCTAATGCCATTTATTATCTTTGTAAAAAAAGCATCTTTGTAAAACATAACGTGACCTATCCAATATAACTAAATGTTACTAATAAATCATTAGGATGTGTGTGTGTGTGTATTTTATTTCTCTGTCAGTTTTAAGTCCTGTTTGTTGTCATTTTCACTTTTTGTATGTTTGTGTGAATTTTGTATTGCAATTTTTATGCAGCATTATTCCATTAAAGTCAATCCAGTATATACATATATTCAGAAATACAAAGATAATCAGACTGTTTTGTCATTATGCCTCATCTTTGTGTGGTTTCATATGAGAAGTGAAAAGGGTGTAGTAAACAAGACACACACACACACACACACACACACACACACACACACACACACACACATATATATATATATATATATATATATATATATATATATATATATATATATATATACATGTGTGTGTGTGTATGTGAAGTCAAAAGTCATGTTTAATAGACCAAGAATTTTTTCACAGTTTTTCCTACAGTCTAATAGTTTTTATTCTGGAGAAAGTCTTGGGCTATTTATTATAGTCTGGCTGGAGTAATATCAGTTTATATAGACCTAATAAGCATGTCAATATAATTAACCCCCTAAGAATTTATTTGTCAAACAAACATTTGTCATGACCCGTCATTTAAAAGCATCTATGGCTACTTCATTTATGAACAGTTGTAATGAAAGGCTGCACTTGCGGTCAGTAAAACTTTAACTTCAGAGTTTTACTTCCTTTCAATGTTCAAGCTCTCATTTTGAGGTTTGGCAGCAAGGTGTGAAACAAACAGGACTGCATTATGTTGAAGCGCTCAACTTTTCACAGGGTGAGGATTATGCAACTTCAACTCTGTAAGTGTTATGGGATGTTTTCACTTACTTTGTAAATGTCACTGTGTATATGATTTTTAAGATCATAATTATTTTTTTTGCCATTTTTGTTTTATTATTTGATTTTTATTTTATAATTTATCCATTTAATCAATTTGCAGATCTGCTGATTTGGATAGAAGCTTCAGAGACTTTAACAACTCAGTTAACACATTTGGGTCAGAATGTGACTATAAACTGTGATCTTGACATAAATGAGGTGACGTGGATGTTTCTGAATCTAGCAGATTCTCCATTTCTGATTTTACGATCATTCTCAAAACCACCAGTGTTTTACTTTAACAACAAATTCAAGCTGAAATATTCAGTGCAACCCAAACATAATCTTTTCATAAATAACATCACTGTTGATGATTTAGGAGTTTATTACTGTATAAACATAGAAGAAACTGCACAAGTTAGCAACGGCACAAAACTACACATCACTGGTGAGTGATCCTTACCTTTTTATTTATTATCATTATTATAATTATTATTAATATTATTATTATTATTAATAGTAGTAGTATGTGCTTTACACTTGATTTATCTTGATTTGTAAATACTTAAAGGGATAGTTCTCTAAAAACTGAAAATTCATTGTTTACTCTCCCTTGTTCAAAACCTGTTTGAGTTTCTTTTTTTCTTTTGAACACAAAAGAAGGTATTTTGAAGAGAGCTGGAAACCTGTTTGGTAATAGGTTTTCAGCTTTTATCAATATATCTTCTTTTGTGTTCAACAGAAGAAACTCATAATGGTTGGAAAAACTTCAATAGTTAGTGAGTAAATTTTAATTTTGAAGGGTGAACTATTCCTTTAAGTGACCCTTTAGTTGCTGCTGACACAAAGTTTTTTTATTTACAGCCCCAACTCAATTTTTTGAGTTATCTGAGAGTCAGAATCACACAGAGGTGAAGAACTTGCAGCAAAATCACACAACAGCGAGGTGTATTCAGCAGAATCAAACAACATGGAGGAAATTTACAATCATCTCTGGTCTTCTGAATGTTCTTCTGGTCATTGTGGTTGTTGGTGAGTTGTTTAGCAATAAACGCACAAACATAAATGTTCTTTATGAGATATTGAATGAACAGTTACCGAAAAACTACAAAACACAAAAGAAGGTGTTAAGCTGAAAACCTGTAACCAATGACTTCCATATAGGGAAAACAAATACTATAGAAGTCAATTGGTTACCAGTTTAAATATTGTTTTCAGTTTTTAGGTGACATATTCATCCCTTTATGTTGTTCTGATTTTTGATTTTTTGTTACTAATCTGAATATGTCACAAGGACTATCACTGACTGGGTGTAAAGTATCCAGAGGACAATCACAAAAACTTCAGAGCACAAATCAGCAGCAGCATCAGTCAAGTGAACTAGTGGTAAACAACACAAAACTCCTACTAATAAAAATCAAACACAATTTTCTTATTTACAGTTTGCTCATTTTGATTTCCTTGTGTCTCTTTCAGTACTCTGAGGTGAATGTTTCGAAGCTGCGTAAACTTTTCAGGTCCAACCAAGTCTCTTCCTGCACCTATGCTGCTATAAAGCTTCCAAAGTCATAAATTATTACATGTATACTAATTTATTAATTACTTGATTCTTGACTCATTATTGATATCTAGAGATTGAT